CCTTCTCTGCAGAGCTGCTTTCCAGCAGGTCAGCCCCCAGCCTGTCCTGGTGCTTGGGGTTCTTCCTGCCTAGGTGCAGCACCCTGCACTTGCCTTTTGTTGAACTTCAGGAGGTTCCTCTCCACCCAGCTCTCCAGCCTGTCCAGGTCCCTCTGAGTGGCCTCGCACACATTTTATTTGAGCCTCACACAGCAGATGAACCGTCACCGGTCTGGGGCTACGTGGCACTCACCTCAGCCGGAGGATTTTGGCAGCCAGTATGCTATTGCATTTATCATGCTGGATGCAATCTCATGTACTGCTATTATGGCTTGATCCACCTGCTGCAGCTGCAGGGAGCCTCAGAGGTGCTCCAGAAGGAGAAGGTGATCTGTGCAATAAATGGGGTTTGGTCATTGCAATGTTAATGTCCTTTTTGATGGCAGAGGAGGGGGAAGATAGTTTCCTTGTGGGCAGGGAGGTCATCTTGCTAACCTGGCTCCAGAGGAACTGCTTTGCCATGATGGTTTTTAGTACATCAGAAAAGCCTGAAGTTCGCGTTGTAGCAGCAGTGCTGATGGGAATTACAGCAAGCAACCTGTGTTCTACAGCGGCTTTCATTGATTGGCACAAGAAGTTAAAACTCTAGCACTTCATCTCAGTTTAACTTCCATACGTCCCACTTCAGAGCTGAAGGAGAGCTCGAGTTCCTTGTTTTTTTTTTCAGCTAGACCAGTTGGTCTAAAAAAATTCCATTTTTTCCCTGTAAACCTCAATTTCCTCGATGTCTATTAAGATGTGGCAATGTAGGACCAAAAAAAAAGAGGTTAAAAAAATGGGAATTAAAAAAAAAAATTTTATGATGTCATTGGAATTATACATTAGCAGGCAACCTAATGGCTGCAAAAAAAAAAAAAATATATATATATATATGTGTGTGTGCCATGTATTCCTAAAATGTATCTTAAAATAAAGAAAGCATAGTCTCTATCTCTTTACTCCCTTTATGTCTAGCCCTGAAAGCAGCTGTCTTTCAGGTTGGACCTGGGGCCTTTTATGCTTAGACATGAAAGGCCCTGAAGTAGGACACAGGGCCAAACTCCCCAGGGTGCAGCACTGGGGACTGGGAGCTCTCCAAAGGCCT